ATTCCTCTCCAATTGCAGGTTGAATGACATGATTTCTGGGGACCCTTCCAATTCTGATATTCTGTGAGCCTGAAACATGAAGTATAAACTCTACTGCATCTGTATAGCAGACATTTATAGTGTGCATACCAAAGAAAGTTAAGGCTCCTGAAAATGTGACAATTTGGCCCTGAATCACGGTAAATTTCTCTCCCTATGACCATGATCCAAATCACCCTTGTTTTTGTTCCAGGATCCTGTTGAGCTATATTATCCCTCTTCTTTACCACATCTCATATATATCCTACTTCACTGGATCCCTCTACTTTGCCCATAAACAAGATAAGATCACCTCAATCCTAAGAGTTTTCCCTTGGCCTTTCTACTCATCCAACTACAATTTCATCCTTTCTCTAAATTTTTTTTAAAGTGTTCTATACTGGGGCAGCTAGATGGCGCAGTAGATACAGCACCACCCCTGGATTCAGGAGGACCTGAGTTCAAATCCGGCTTCAGACACATAACACATACTAGCTGTGTGACCCTGGGCAGTCACTTAACCCCACTGCCTAGCCAAAAGAAAAAAAAATAAAATAAAATAAAATAAAATAAAGTGTTCTATACCTGCTGGCTCCTTTTAACTATTTATTCTTTTTTTTTTTTTGGCTAGGCGATGAGGCTAAGTAACTTGCCGAGGGTCACACAGGTAGTAAGTGTTATGTCTCTGAGGTTGAATTTGAACTCAGGTTCTGACTCCGGGGCTGGTGCTCTATCCACTGTGCCACCTAGCTGCCCTAATTATACATTCATACACCTTTGTAACTACTTCCTGGTTGACTGAATATAAGCTTCAGATCCTCCAGATACTTGACTAGTGGACTACCATGAGCAACAAGGAAGCAGAGGAGCTATGCTCAATGAATGATTCCAATAGTCTCAATGAATATCCTTCTTCAACTATGGCCAAGTAAATCTCTTTTTTGTTAACTGACTTATCCTCTACAAATATTCATTTCATTTCAGTATCAAACATAAACTACCAGAGCACTGGTCTGACTCAGGATTTTCCTACAACACCTTCTATCTCACTATCCATTTTTTCTCTGGATTCTCATATCACTTCCAGCCTAATCCCCTTCATCCTCAGCCCCCTTCTCTTCCCATACTCTATCTCTAAATAATCTCATTCACTCTCATAGCTCCAACTATCAACTCTGAGCAGTTGATTCCCAAAACTACATCTCCAAACTTGCCCTTTTCCCTGAGTTTCCAACTCACATCTCCACTGTCTAAAACATTTCCATATGATGTCCCTTACCAGCATCTGAAACTCAAAATGTCCAGAACTGAACTTTTCTACTCAAGCTCATTCTTTTTTCCAATCTTATTTTCTTTGAAAAGAAAGCTTTCAATTCTTCCGTTCCCTTCTCTCTCACCTCCTGCTATTGTGTTTTACATTGATTCTCTCTCCCCAGTAGGTCTCTCATCTATCCTCTTCTCTATTTCCACTGTCAACACTTTATCACAGGCTCTCATCACTACACACAGGGATTGTTGCAATAATCTTTCAGCAGCTCTTCTTGCTCAATGATGAGATCCGGTCTCATCTAATACTTGCTTGCATCTATTTTGTGCACTTTAAAAATTATCATTTTTTAATATGTTGGTCATGTCTCCCACTTGACTGTATGTTCCATGAGAATAAGAATAATATTTTACCTAAACATTGTAACTTAATAACTATCTAGTACACTGTCACTGGGGCATCTAGGTGGCACAGTGGATAGAGTGCAGGGCCTAGAGTCACAAAGACTCATCTTCTTGAGTTCACATCTAGCCTCAGACACTTGCTAGCTGTGTCACCCTGTGCAAGTCACTTAACCCTGTCTGTCTCAGTTTCCTCATCTGTAAAATGAGTTGCAGAAGGAAATGGCAAATTGCTCCATTATCTCTGCAAAGAAAACCACCAATGGGGTCACATAGAGTCAGACACAATTGAAACAACTCAACAATAATGACAACACACTGTCACTGCTTCATAAATGCTTCGGTACTGAATGGTCTAAAGAAGTAAATGAGTTTTGAGGAAATCCCAAGTAACTTTTCACCACCTCCTTTGTCCCTACTCTCTACCTTCCCTTCTTATCCACACACAAAGGGACCTTTGGTCTCAGGAATCTTCTGAGAGTCTGAATTTCCCTTGGGTTAAAAAGTTAATACCCACATTCTTCCTAGTCATTCCTACAAGCCACTGGGACCTAGGTCACTACTCCTTTTGAGAAATGAAAGAAACACAATGTCTTGGGACTCTCGGGTTACCACAGAGTTTTCTACAGAAAGAAGAGTTACTGAAGGAAGAATAAGAAAGTAGCCCAGAGATTGGCAGCTAGTGGCACTTTACATCAAAGAGATTGTGCAGGTTGATTTTTTCAGTGACACAGAGGCCAGTCAATGCTATTGAAGGCCCTCCCTCTCTCACATTTTGAAATATAATTACTCATCATAATAGCTCCTTTTGTGTAGGGATTTTTTCTGTCAATATATTTGTATCCCCAGTGCCCAGCACCATGTTTGGCACATACTAAATAATCAGTAAATGCTTAATTGATATTATCACTAACCATCCTCAGATGTCCCACAACCCTTTACCCCAAGAAAAAAACACTGAGAGTTTTCATACTTTGCTCATAGAAGAAAACAACCTTTGGTAACTACATTAGATAAATAAGCACTAATATGATGTAACTAAAGAGAAAATCTCTAGTAATAAAAAGGAGAGAATACCATAATGTTATAAGGTCAATAACTCATGGTCAAGCTAAAATGGTATTACAAAAGGACTAAAGATGGACAGAAGAAAACAAGTTTTGGTCATTACATTAGATAAATAAGCACAATTATGATAAGTAAAGAAAAAATCTCTAGGAATAAAAAAGTAGTAAAGAACCATAATGACTCAAATGTCAAAGAAAAAAACTGGGTAACTACTGCTTTTATGAAGTTCGGGCAAAATAATCTTGCATATAAGCACATTAAATGCCTATTGACTTGAATAGGGTCTTTAAAATGACTTGTCCAAAACAAGTATTTTGTGTTAGCTGAAATAAAGAGAATGATGATTTTAGCACTACTGTAAGGAAAGCATTTTGCAAATTATATAAATGTTTGCTATTATTAATAATAATATTAATAATTAATAACAACATCTGCTTATGTTTTATATTTGAGTTAAGGAAACAGGCTGTTCTTGAGATTTGATTGGGCCTGGAGATGAAAATTTGAATTATTGGTTTGGGCTAGTTTCTCTTTAAGGAAACAGGGAGGAAATTCTTAAGAATTGGTTGGTCAGGGAAAAGAGAACTTGAATTATTGGTTTGGGCTTCTTGCTCCTAAGGCATAAAAGGTCCAGTCTACTGAAATGGGAGCTCTAGAGATTTTAGCTGAATTCCATTTGCCCTACTAAGCAGATATCACCCTGAACAAGTGTTGCCTGTTGCTCTGATGAATGTATTGGGGGAATACAGCACACTCTTTTGGTAGTGGTTTTACTTTAATTTACTTAGGAATCATGTCCTTTTTAATGTTCTCACAAGTTATTTTTATTGCCTTCATGGTCTACAAATTCTTCACTGCATTCTAATCTCAAGCCTGAACCCCTATACTGGCCTGAGCTATGCCTGACCCAGAAGATTTGATCTTTTGCTGTCAGGAATTTGTTGCCATGACTTTGTGATTAAATTAATTACTGAAGTAGAAAAAGGAACTGTGGAACAAAAGAATGGAAGCCTTTATAAGGACCCTGTACCCTGTGGTCACAACATTGTTAGAAAGCCTACAGTGCGGAGGTGGGGTGGAACCCTCTTAAGGGGAAATGGGATAAGGAGGAAGTTTCAATTCATTCTCTAGGTTTAGCTTGATGGATACTAAAGAGCCGGACACAATGAAGGTAATGAAGGTTGAATAGAAGCTTTTATATAATTTTCTTGGGCTGATCAACTTCTTGGGCTTTCATACTAAGCTAATTAACATATTCTCATGTTTCCAGTTTCTTGTATCCTCCCATAAGTACTGCTACTGTTTGAAATTCACTGACAGAACGAGATTTTCTGAAATAATTAACAAATAGACATTAAGTGGAAGATGATCGTGTCGCCTTTGCTAGGTACATGTAAAAATTTTGGCCTACCCTTTCTCAAAATAGGAATTGTTTTACCTCCCAAAATAACTGCTTCCCTCATACATTAATGGTACTAAATAGAACACTTAAATACAAATAAGCTTATAAATGAAATCATCAGGTATTAAGGGTTTTAAAAGATATATGAGGCATGGGACTCACTTTACATCCTTGTGCTACTTGGAAAAAAAGGCTAAACATTCAGGGACCTAATTTCACTCCATCCCCATTTCAACCATCATGTCCAATGACTGCTATGATAAGCACACTCTCCCATTATAAAAAGCTACCTTCCCACTTCCTCACTCCCCACTCTAACCACCATCCCAATTTATAGAAACATTCTGGTTGTATTAATGTTGCTTTGGAAACATTTGTCACATATCTCAACAAGTCACAGTCCAGAGGACTTTTTATACTTACAACTTCCTTCTCTACCTTTTCAGGACTCTCAGAGATACAGAACAAGTTAGAAAAGCTTTTAATCTCAATTACAACATGAGAGGATTAAATAATAAGGTCCCCACACTACAATTTAGAACCCAAATTTCTTACTGTCAATTTCCATTGACAAAAATCTAATTCCTAGCATGATGCCTTTGGTGGAACAGCTGGATGACCATTTCAAGCTCAAAGGAAGCAGCCGCCCATGCTGACAAGTTGTCTCTCTGATTGCCTGGGAATGGCAGCACATGCAGATTTATTCCCTATTTAAATTAGAACAATTATTTCTCTGCAGTTTACACTTTCTCCATGAAAGAACAGACCTGTCTACATTTGGGGGAGGGGAGGTGATGAGCCTCTAGACTTGGGGGAATGGGAAAAGGACTTTTCAAAAGGATATCTTCCCTTTCTCTGATGATAAGCTCATTCTGCTCTTCTAGCTGTCTGATCTTCTTCTCAAACGACTCCTGTTCAGCTTTTAGTCGTTCTTCTGTCACTTCCTTTTCCTCACTTACCCTGAAAAAAATCCCCCCCCAAAATCTGTTAGAATGAAATAAATTACATTCACACAGCTGTGACTTACAGAAATTAGACTTATTCCAGAGGTTCCCATATGTTAAAATCTTTGAGGATACACTTACATTCAATATAATCACACTCTTTTTTTCCAATTTAGACTTTCATATGGCAATTTCTCCTCCTTTTTAATAAAATATGTATGTGATTTTATGTGAATAATGATTTCCATCATCAGAAATGCCTCAAAATTATGAAGTCCTACATGGTGGGACATAGGTCTCCAATTATTAACCAGGAAAGAAATAAATTCCCATTTAAAAAGCATATGTTCTACTTTGCTAGATCATAAGATGAAAGTGTAATCAATTTATTCCTGATTTAAATTTTCCCACATTTTTATTTAAATTCTGGCTATGAAATAAACAACATATTTATTTCTGAAATATATGAGTAATTTTACTTTTTCTTTATTGGCACTGACATCCTGCATTTCTCTGCAGCATATAAATAATTGAGCTGCAATTAAAAGATGACGTTAATATAAGGAAAGATTGGCAATGAATTTATTTTCAATTGAAGAAGGATTATAAAGGCTACAAAGTAATTTTTCATTGTTAGTATATAATCCTAAAACTTCTTTGCACTCAATCCCAGCAAAGAGGGGCAGCTTAAGCACCAAGATGTAGTAAACACATGGATATAATAACTTAAAAAAAAAGTCTAATCTCTATAAGTATAAAAAAGGAAATTTTGAGACTGTCCTAATAGATACTGTGTTGTGCTTAATATTGACCTACTTTTCATTACATGAATAACAATAGTAATGTGACACTATGACAAAAGAACAGTCTTGAGTTCTATTTATTAGTAACTACTACATATGAAAAGCAATTTCATTATATAATATATCCATTATATAATTAAAATACATAGTAAAAGCAAATTAAATCTGCAGAAAATCTATGTTCTCTACATAATGTCCTCCATATTCTGATCCTTTGCTCCCTAGTCTTATTTCCATTCAAATCTCTTTGTCCCTTTCCAAACCTCAACCCAGGATTAACCTCTACCGTACACATTCTCTGTTCTCACTCCTTGTGCTGATGCATGGGAAGTCAAACACAATTGCTAATTAGATCCACTACATATTTATCTTGTCTCAGTTTCTTTATTTGCAAAAATAAAAGAATTGCACCAGATGTCTTCAAGGTCCCTTCTAGCTCTAAATCTAATTTGATCTAACCTCAACTAAGCCCTCACTTGTTTAAGCTGTTTCTTTCAGTTGGTCCTACTCTCACTGACTGCTTCATTTTTTTAACTTTTTAAAACTTCTTTATTTACTTTTTTTTTTGCTCCCAAATGGCACTTATCTAATTCCCTATAGCTGTTGTCCTATACATTTTCTCCCCTTGAGACACCCATACCATCCCCTTCCTACTCCCTCATTGCAAAGAACTTTTGACATATTTTATTAAGAAAACAGAAGCCATTTGTCATCAGTTCCCTTTCTATTCCCTATTAGACATCTCAAAGTCCTTTGAGTTCATCCTACAATCTCTCCTCCTTTGCTCCAGGTTCCTATAAAAAGGGCAACTCTCCTCCTAAGGCCAATCCTCTCCACGTTTTCCCTTTATCCCAGCCTCTACTATATCTTGCCCATCCAATAACCCCTTTCACTCTATAACTTTCAATCTCATCCTCTCTATTGGTTCTTTACTTGCAGCCCATGAACATGCCCAGATCTCCCACATCTTTAAAAATCTTTTCACTAAAGCAGGAAACTGGGGGAAATGTTTTATAGCAAGTTTCTCTGATAAAAACCTCATTTCTCAAATATATAGGTAACTGAGTTACATTTATAAAAATAAGAGCCATTCCCCAATTGATACATGGTCAAAAAATACAAACAAGTAGTTTTCTGAAGAAGAAATCAAAGCTCTCTATAGTCACATGAAAAAATGCACTATTATTTAAAGAAATGCAAATTAAAATAACTCTGAGATACCACCTCATACCTATCAGATTGGCTAACATGACAAAAAAGGAAAATGACAAATGTTGGAAAGGATGTGAAAAAATAGCTACATGATTGCACTGTTGGTGGTTATTGTGACCTGGTCCAACCATTCTGGAGAACAATCTGGAACTATGAACGGGATATAAAACTATGTGTACCCTTTGACCCAGCAATACCATTTCTAGGTCTGTATCCTAAAGAGATCAAAGAAAAAGTACCTCTTCCCTTCCCACATTCTAAAGGAGCTCATCAGCTCCCATGAGTTCAACTATGATCTCTATGTAGAAGACTCAGATTTATATGTATTCAGACCTGATCTTTGCCTCTGAGTTCCAGGCCTGCATCACCAACTGCCTACTGGATATTTTCAACTGGATATCCCAAAGTCACCTTAAACTCAACACATAGAACATATTATCTTCCCTCAAAATAACCTCCATTCTTCCTAAGTTACTACATCTATTGAGGGCACCACCATCCTTACCCATAACCTCCTTCATCCCACTTAAGCCACATAATAATTTGTCTTCAAAAATCAACTGATAAATGGTCAAAGGGTATGAACACGCAGTTTTCAGATGAAGAAATTAAAGCTATCTATAGTCATATGAAAAAATGCTCTAAATCCCTACGGATTAAAGAAATGCAAATCAAAACAACTCTGAGGTACCACATCACACCTATCAGATTGACTAACATGACAAAACAAGAAAATTATATACTGGAGAAGATGTGGGAAAAGTGAACACTAATACATTGTTGGTGGAGTTGTGAATTGATCCAACCATTCTGGGAAAACAATTTGGAACTATGCCCAAAGTGCCATAAAAATGTGTATACCCTTTTTCCCAGCAATACCACTTCTAGGGCTGTATCTTAAAGAGATCATGTGGGAAAAGTGAACACTAATACATTGTTGGTGGAGTTGTGAATTGATCCAACCATTCTGGGAAAACAATTTGGGACTATGCCCAAAGTGCTATAAAAATGCGTATACCCTTTTCCCCAGCAATACCACTTCTAGGGCTGTATCTTAAAGAGATCATAAAAATGGGAAAAGGACCCACATGTACAAAAATATTTATAGTAGCTTTTTTTATGGTGGCAAAGAATTGGAAATTGAGGGGACGCCCATCAGTTGGGGAATGGCTGAACAAGTTGTGGTATATGAATGTAATGGAACACTATTGTGCTATATGAAATGATGAGCAGGCTGACTTCAGAAAAACCTGGAAAGACTTGTATTGGTCTGATGCTGAGTGAAGTGAGCAGAACCAGGAGAACATTGTAAACATTAACAGCCACGTTGTGTAATTACTAACTTTGATAGACTCATCTCTCAGCAATGCAAGGATCCAAGACAAAGTCAAATGACTCATGACTGAAAATGCTGTCCACATCCAGAAAAAGAACTATGGAGTCTGAATGCAGATCAAAGCTTATCATTTGCTCTCTTTTTTTCTTTTTTTTTTTGGTTGTTTTTTTCTTATGGTTTCTCCCATTGGTTCTAATTCTTCTTTACAACATGACTAATGTGAAAATAGGTTCAATATGAATGTATATGTAGAGCCTATATCAAACTTCATGCCGCCTTGGGGTGGGTGGAGGGGAGAGATAGGGAGAAAATTTAGAACTCAAAATCTTATGGAAGTGAATACTGAAAACTAAAATAAATAATTTTTTAAAAAATCAATGATTACTTTTTCTGTCAACTTGATTAACTTTTCAACCTCTTCTAGCAGAAGCAGGATTTGAAACCAGATCTTTCTCGATCCACATCCAGCCCTCTACTCACTAAGTATGATCTAATAAATACATAACTCAAAGAACATACTTCCTTCCTCTAAGGTTTTCTGTTCTTCCTCTTCATCTTTTGGGTTTATAACTCTGGTTTTGGTATACATGTAACAGCACAAAAGCCCTAAATTCAATATGAACATTTATGCTCACATTTGTATGTGTGAGCATGTGTGGGTATGTTTAGTTTCTGAAGGAGTACATGAACCTACAAAGTGTTTTTTTTTAATTTCCATTTAATAAAAATACAATAATGTAAATGATGTTGCAAAACCGTAGGCCTACTTGCTCTTTCTTGTCAATGACCATCCATTTCCTGCCTCCTTCTCCTTGCACAGGTTGTCCCCCGTGGCAAGAATTCTTTTCCTCTTCACTTCTGTCTCTTGGAATTCCTAGTCTCCCTTCATTACTGAACAAAAACACTTATTTGTTCCCCCAAAGTAAGGCCCAAACTCCTCCCTTTAAATTACTTTGCATATTATTCATATTTGTTCATATATACATGTTGTTTCCCCAAGTAGAATATAGTGTTCTTGAGAGCAAGGACTTGATGTTTTTTTTAGTCCCCAGAACATGAGAGTTTCTTCCACTTGAAAGAGGCTTAATAAATGTGTGTTGAATTAAATTCTAGGCCATTTAATGTAGGCATTCCTCAAAGATCTGTCTTTAAATATCTACTACTATCTCTAAGTAGATGCCTGGCAAATCTCTATCTCTAGCCCCAGCCTCTCTTCTGAGCTTCATCATGGCATTTCCACCTAGATGTTCTCTAGCACCTTAATCCAACATGCCCAATGCTAAATTTATTATCCATCCCCCATTCTATAGTTGTTCTTCCTGCAACTTCAATATTTCTGTCCCAGATAACCACCATTCAATATCTCCCATGTCAGAAACTCTGGAGCTATTTTTTATTCTTCCTTTACTTATCATATATAATAAACTTACCAATGCCTGTCAATTACATGTTTTTAATAACTCTCACATCCACCATCTCTCCTTTATTCTCATAGACACCATCTTATAATCAGCTGGACTACCAGCAATAGCCTACTAAGATTTTTTCCAGTTTCTACTTTCTTCTCCCCTCAATCTATAATCTACTCATGTGACTCCTCTGCTCAAAATTTTCAATGGTTCCCTAATGCCTAATAAATCAAATTCTAATTCCTTTGGTCCTCCA